CTGAGCGTGAAAAGACGTCAAAGTTTGCGGTTTTTTTTTTTTTTTTAGGCCGACCTCCGCTCGAATTGCCGTCGACCTCCACTTGAATTGCCGCCAACCTCCGCTCCTTCCGGGCTACCAGCCTCCGATGGTCCTGGAAAGCCAATTTTTTGTCGGGGGGAGTGGTGGTAGCAAACAAGTCATCGGCATGGCTGACGCCTTTCACTGACTGCCTTGCCCTAGTTGAAGGCCTTGAATATCTGAATTTTTTTTAATCATACACACCAGTACTTCCATCTGCAGGACAAATAGCATGGGTGTCAGGGCGCACACCTGCCTCACGGAACGGGTAAGAGGGAAAATCTCAGAGATCTCCCCGTTGACCATGACTCTACCCATACTTTTGGTGTACAAAGCTTGTACCCATCTGCAAAAAACTTCTCCAAAACCTGCTTTGTTTAGTGTGGTTAATACAAAATCCCAATTTACTCTGTCGTAGGCCTTCTCTAAATCTAGAAGTAGTGTCACTATCGCTGACTGATTATCTTTCATTGTCTCAAGCGCTTCAATTGTCAGCATCACATTGTTCAGGATGTTTCTCCCTTGAGCAAACCCTGCTTGCTCTTCCCTTTTTTTTTTTTTTTTTTTTTTTTTTTTTTTTTTTTAACACTCGCCCTGCTTGCTCTTCCCTTACTAAGGCCGATAGATATTTTTTCAATCTGTTAGCCAAAGTTTTTGCAAGTAACTTATATGAGGTATTTAGAAGGGAGATGGGCCTCCAATTCCTGATGTTCCACTCAACTTTTTTTATAGAGGAGAGATATAGTACCCAGTCTCATTTCCTCCCCCCAGCTCGTGACCATCCAGAATGCTTCAGTCTTCCCCCGAAACGGTCATTATAGCTGAATTTGGTCTATCTTTCAGTGTAAATTCAGCTATAATGACCATGCATTGTATTCCGGGGAAGACTGTAGCGTAGATGACTACCAGTCTTCCCCCGAATACAACGCACGGTCATTATAGTTGAATTTCGTTTATCTTTCAGTGTAAATTCAGCTATAATGACTGTACGTTGTATTCGGGTAAGACTGTCGCGTAGATGCCTACTACTAGGGATGAACCCAATTCCTTCCAACCCATGGGATCTATGTTGACCATCACTACCAGGGCTCTTTCCTTTCTTCATATCCTTCAGAGTGTAGGTGAGTTCCTCGAGGGTGATAGGTCTATCTAAGTCCAATCTACCCTGGGTTGGAACTCTGACATCAAAGCAGTCTCACATCAAAGCAGTCCCACATCAGACTAAGGAGGTCCTCATCACCTGGGTCAGGGAATCTTTGTTTAGAAGAAGTTAGGATGTCTTTGAAGTATAATCTGGCATATTCTAGAATCTTCCTTGTGTCCCTGGCCCTCGGCTCGAAAGAGTCAAAGGGATGGTCCAGCTCAATGATCAGGGAAGAGCCCTTTTTTGAAGACAGTCTTCTGAAGTTCTCCTTGGTTATTTTATCTCCCACATCTACTACCCACTTAAACCACCAATACTTCCTAAAGTCGTGCCCGTTAATGCTACGCGATTTTAGGAAACGTACGGACCACTACAGGAGCGCCCAAATTCATCCGACTAGAAACATTTCTACTCTTTTTTTTTTTCCATGGCCGATAGCTGGGCCGAGTACTGGTGGTTTAATCTTTGCCCTTTCTGCCCAAACACGTTCTTTTTCAATTTGTATGTTGTCCAATTTGTCAATCCATGAATTCCGGTGGACCATCCAATAAGCAGCAAGAAGTGGGTCCCCCGCCATGTTGTATTCTGCCCATTCAATTTGGTCTATGCATTCTGTCTCAGCCTTGCGTGTAAGATACGCTTTGGCTCTGGAAGCAAAGCTCAGATCTGCAACTGCCATTCTATTTGTAGCTTCCAACCAGTCTAATTCAGACTCGTAGAAATCACACATATTTCTTAATTTGGTAATCAATTTTCTGATGGATGCCACGAGTCTTGCATCGCTCAAGAGGTTCGTGTTAAGCCTGTAAAAACCCCGCCCTCTGACTATGTTGGTGGAGAGTTTCACCCAGAGTGAATCATTATGGAATCTCTCAGGCTGTCTCCAGTATTTCCTTAAACGCGTCCTTTTTTAGGAGGCGTACAACCATAATGAGGTATAGGCATAACGTCTCTGCTTACGAGCAGTAGAGGTTTATGGTGTTTTCTTGTTTTTCCCCTAACTCTACTAATCCCTAACTCTACTAATAGTAAAAGCGGGCCTCGCGTCATGCTACCCATGGGCCCAGCGAAAATCGAACAACAGGCAGTACCAGCCCATCGTGAGCCTGTGAAGGCTCTCCTTCTCTGTGTTTTTTTTTTTTTTTTTTTTTTTTTTTTTTTTTTTTTTTTTTTTTTTTTAACAAGACTGCAGATAGGGTGAGGGATCTGGGGAGTGTAGACGACAAAACCATGAATGGGAGGAGGATTTTCTGTTTTGTGCTTAACCCGATTGCGGAGGGGGTGAGGGATACTGGGAAGACAGGCACAACGTGTGCAGGAGGGCGACGATATTCAGGGTGAGAGAGGGATGGGAAACGGAATGACGATCACAGAGAAGACAGCCACAACGCGCAGCAAGCAGCGGTCGTGATAAGCGATAGAGGCGGAAGAGGAAAGACAACGAGGGGACGCTGGACCCGGTTTCCAGCAGGTGCAGCTTCCCACCAATGGAAGGGAGCCATCCAATATCGACGGGGTAGAGGGGATGACTGCTCTTACCCGCCGCACCCCCCCCCACACCCTCACCGATGTTTCGTCAAAAAAAAAAAAAAAAAAAAAAAGAGGAAAGACAACGAACTCGATGAGCGATAGAAAGAGAAGTGCGAAGAGGTGGGGAGAAAGGGGGAAGAAACTACGGCGGGGCAACATGGCATGGGCGCACAGAAAGAGAGAGAAAGAGGGGTTAAAGATTGGCTGCTTCCTTCTACGTTGCCGACCTCAAGGCCGAGAGCAGCGCCGCGGCGGGTCCACTTGTTTCTTTTATTATACAGAAAAAAAATTAACCAGACAAATCACTCCACCAACTGAGAACGGCCATGGACCACCACCCATGGAATCAAGAAAGAGCTATAGTAATAGTGTTTCCTTGTTGCTTTTTTTTTTTTAAATACAAAGCTATATTCTTCTCTCAATTTCACCTCACACTACCGACCTACCACTACTCCTAATTGTAGGCATACGGGAACCCCGTAGCAGCCAGAACCGTGTTCACGAGAGAACATGCGGGGGCTGCTCCCGACCTGCAGGTGGGCGATACCGGCTAGGGGACAGCCGGTAGCATCAGGGACCATGCCAACAGGACCAATCCCTGTGCCTCCCCTCAGGTGGTGGTCCCCTCCCCTATGAACATCAGCAGACTCTGCTAAATGCCAATCGGGGGATCCAGTGGTCTTATCTCTAGGTGGTGGGCGCCAACCATGCCCAGGAAGGTACATGAGGCCCATGGGGATTGAACCCACGACCTCCTGAATGCAACTTGCGAGCCTTACCCACTGAGTTAGGCCGCTGGATTTCCCTTGTTGCTTTTGCTCCCCGCAGCTTTTTCTTTTCTGTCTGTGACTCTGTGTGACATTGGGCACTGAGTCGTGGGCCTGTGTTCTATGGGTAAGGCTTACCCACTGAGTTAGGCCGCTAGAATCAAGGCCTATGTCTATGGACCATAGAGTCCTGAATCAAGGCCTACTACGCACAAGCATGACCTCCTGAACAGCTTGAGTTTTTGTACGGAGGTCATGCTTGTGCGTAGTAGGCTGTTTTCCCTAGGACATTTGTCGTTTTCAAAATTCAAAGCATGAACAGAGCATTACCTTTCCTCCCCTGGGGCGTGGTCCCACTAGCAAAGAGGATCGGATAGAACGCCGGAATCTAGACGATTTTATTGGAGATGTGCAGGAAATCGAGATTGTAACTGCTTTTCTGCATCTCTGCTTAAAACACATCCAGATTCAGGAGCTCGATCCTATCCTTTTTGCTAGTGGCACCTCGGCCCTGGAGTTGCAAGGTAGGGGCACGTTTAAGGCGGTCTGAGGGCAGAATCATTTTTTTTTTTTTTTTTTTTTTTTTTTTTTTTTTTTTTTTATAATTTTTATTAAAATTAATATTTTTTTTTTTTTTTTTTTAAAAAAAAAAAAAAAAAAAAAAAAAAAAAAAAAAAAAAAAAAAAAAAAAAAAGGCTGTATGGTTGTGAACAGGAGAGGGCATGAACATGACAATAGAAATTGTAGAAGAAGTGTTTTTCACTTCTGTTCGGCATAAGCACGCACAGAGAGATCTAAGTGGTATTGCACTGCACAGCTGAGAGAATTTGTGAAAAGTTGTGTTTTACTTTTACAGGTGATTGCAGTCAGATTCATCGCAGTTTGGCTATGCCTGTGGTCAGGTACATTTAGGAAAGCCAAGTCGTGCCGTTGCTATGTTTCCGCTAGAGGTGCAAGGTAGCGACAAGTATAGGGCGGTCTGAGGGAAGTAAGAGGTGCAATGCTATAGATGTACACCTTGAGTATATCTCGGTCCTTGTGTTTCTTTTTTTTTTCCCAGCTCTTTCATGCAATGGGAAAAATTTGGACCATTTCTCGATTTATGCGTGTCATCCTTGCGCAGGGGCCATGCAAATCTTCTCTGTATCGTTCCAATTTTAACAGATGTCCCGAAGGAC